CATCCCATGTTGGATGCATCTGTCGTAAGAGTCATCGTGGGAAGTGGAGGAGGAAAAGGCAAACCTTGACTCAGGTTGCTCCAAATTGTCCACCAATGAATGTGGGGGATGATTGGCTTCAGTATTGGTATGCTCCTTGACGAAGGATGTTGACTGGGTCGAAAATGAGCCAAAAGATGTATTTGAATTGGCCGCATCCTCGGCGACACCATGGGACTCGATCGACCAGACTGGCCATTAGGCCCAGCAGTTGTAGCCAGGCCACCGCTGGTGCTGATCGAGCCGTCAGGAACAGGTTGGCGCACTCCTGGACATTGTGTACTCGTTCGCTCGAAGGGTAAGCGATCCCTGTTACCAGGTCGATTTCTGCCCCTAGAAAAGACGGTGTCTGGGTGGGGACCAGATGAGATTTTTCCAAGTTTATCAGAAACCCTAACCTTGTCGTCAAGTCGACGGTTACTTCTAAGGACTGTCGAACTTCCTCTGTGGACCTGCCTACGATTACCAATCGTCCAGGCAGAGGAATATCATTATATTCGCTCTTTAAAGTATTGTCGCCAGGGTCTTTGTTACTCTGGTGAAGACCCTTGGTGATGTTGACAGACCGAACGGAAGAGTGAGGAACTTGAAAAGTGTATTTTTGTATTGAAAACGAAGGTATTTTCTGTGTTCCTTGCAAATGGGTACGTGAAGATAAGCATCCTGCAGATCTATTGATGCGGCCCAGGATGGTGTTGGGAGAGAATTTAAGACGGTGCGCAGGGTCTCCATTCGGAACCGCCGTGGACGAATAAACCTGTTCAACGGCTTTAGGTTCAGAATAGGACGCCACTCGCCTTGCTTCTTCTTGGGTGTAAGGAAGAATGTTGACATGAAACCTGATGTTTCTACTGGGCTTTGAACCGGTTGAATTGCTTGTTTTGATAGCAGGGTTTCTATTTCTTTCTCCAATGCCCTCCGCTGTTCTCTGTCTGATGGAACAGGGGTGGGACGTGAGAACATTACCGATGGAGGAGTGCTTGTAAACTCTAGGCAGTATCCCTGTGTGACTGTCTGAAGCACCCACCCATCGGTGCAAAAGTGGGCCCAAGTCTCCCCGAATTGCCTTAAGCGGCCCCCCACGGGCCCAATCTGGGGGGCCACGGGTGGAGAACCAGCGTCACCGACGCCATCCCCGACCCGCTCGAGAAGATTCTGGCGGGAGGGAAACCGCGTGCCACGACCTCTTGAGGTTGGCCAGCCAAAACTCCTTCCGGAAGTTGCCTGCGATGTTGTTGCGGTTGTTGCTGGTGTTGATCGAGCCACAGCGGTTGATTGGGTAGACTTGGGTGTCTGAAAGGAGGGCAAAGGTTTTCTAAACCCTTTGGACCTATTCGAAGTAGTCGGGACCTTAGCTGTTGGTTGTGATTCTTACGACGGGCCTGTAAATTAATACGGTCTGTTGCTTCTAGACGTTTGGCCTCGGCCTCCATCATCGTCTGGAACTGATCCGCAAACAAATCCTTGCTCCATAAAGGAAGGGCCTCCATGCGTTTTCTTGCCCCTTCTGAAGGAAAGAAGATCGTTTCTAGAACATTGCAATATGGAACGTCTGGAGACCGTGGCAAGTACAGAGACCCTAGCAAATTGGTCTAGGATGATGCGTAATCCATCCTCCAGACATTGAAAGGCATTGACAGCCATTGTAGGAGAAACACTGGAAACGGAATCACATGCAGTAACCAAGTATTCTGACAAAAGAAGCATAAATGAAGTCGTTTGCAGACCCATGCGGGATGCTGCATCAACCTTATGTAATGCCTCTTCAAGCTTATTCCGGACAGGATCGGCAAAGGGAACTTTAAGTGATTGTTTCCCTGTATCTGCCGCCATCTTGTCCTTTGCATTGTCTGGGATAACCGGAACTGTTAAAAATTCTTCAGTATCCTGCTTTGGAACCCGAAAGGGATGACATGCTGCCTTGGCAAAGGGTTGCCATTTTTTCTGACCAGCTATTGTTTTAAGACGGTTAGAAAAAAACCTGTCCACTGGGAATTCCGGAAAGGTTGACTTCGGGGAATCCCGCTCTGGTACACCTGTGCGTTTCTTAAAACTAGGCCGTGTACCTTGTGAAGATTCTGACTGTTCGGGAATGGGAACCTTTAATATACGAACCATATCCCACATCACTTCACGAAATCTATTATCGGTAGTCTCATAAGGATGACTCCTGGTAGAATCCACGTCGGACGGCTGATCCACCGAAGATGGACCCGGCTGGGACTCGAGGTTACCCTTAGGTGTTGCCTCGTGTGTATCTACAGCTGTAGAATGAGTAGGTGAAGGTCTATTGGCGTCTCAGCTTGAGGGGGAATTGGGAGTTGTTGTTGCGCCAACGCCGCCAACTGAGCCGACAAAGCCTGAAAACCTTTCAGCAATAAATCCGATGTATTGTCTCTCCGCCCGCGTTTGCGATGACGTGGGTGGTCCGATGACTGGGCAGAAGTCGGCGACGTACTGGCACTGTCGCTCGTTGAAGAGCTAGAATAACGGCGGCGGCGGGATTTATGGGCCCGGCGCCGTTTATTCTTGGGCCATGATCGATTTTCCGATCCACGGCAACGAGCCATTAAATCAGAAATTCCCGAAGGAACGTGTACAATCATATGGAGGTGTGTATTGTTACAGTGTAAAACTTTATGATGATTTTCATTGTGTTTTTTTTCCCTCATTCCCCCCTCCCCCCAAAAAACAAACAAAACAGGTTAGGTAGGGCGTGGCAATATTAGGCCTAATAACCGGCAGCACACCTTTTTGGCCTACTGTGTGTTTTCTAGTTTGAACATTTTATTCCTATATGTACTAACTAATATTTAGTAATGAAAATTGACTGAACTATGTATCGCAGGACTTGTTTGGAGCCAGTGCCTCTTCACGATGGCCTCAAAGATGAGTAAAATCACCTTGCAGGCCTTGGTTATCTCTCCAAATGGTATTGAATTGAGCATGGATGAATTCAGCCCCCTGTTCCCAAGGCCTCCTTTCCAGCAGGTCATGCAATTAAGGCACAATAAGGCTCCAAAATGTGCATCTTGGAGGTCAGTTTCTCCGAAAGAACTGGAGGTACCGGTAGGCCTATGCCTTTACTCGTTACCTAAATTGGGATACAGTTGCAATATTAAAAAGAGAACGGTTCATTCTTTCAGGAATTTGCTTGAAAACAGATGCAGTTTCTCAATTGGTGGTGTATTTTAAGTAGTTTCATTCAAATGTAACCACATGCATGTTTAGTTAGTCTTGTTCCTATGTTTAATTTCATTTTTGCCAATCGCAGTAAGTATGTGGCAGCAGTAGAGATCGCTCAGCAACAAGATGAATCAAGTCCAGTGTTGACAATGTTGGCAGCACCACCGAGGAAATTAGGAGTATCTTTTACATGAATTTCTTCAGTGCTGTCAATATTGTCACAACTGGATGGGGGGGGGGGGGGGGGGTAAGGGGCACACGTCCCCTCCTCCTCCACAACAAAAAAAATTGTTTTCCCCCATTCAATCCCCCCCCCCCCCCCGGAAAATTTGCATTTGCATGATGTATGAACTGGGCTTTAGTCAATTCTTTGTTAATTTTATTTGTGGGTCCTTTTTATTGGGGGGGGGGGGGGATGCGAGGAATGTTTCAGTTGGCCATTTCTGTATAGGAATTTATGTATTCAGTTATGAACAAATAACAATACATTTGTATTAATATGCAGACTTGCAGCATTTATGACCTTAAAATATGTCGACTTGTTGAATTTTGCAGATAATTTTTGGCTGTGTGATGAAATAAAGAATTACAATGTAAGTTAATTTTAATTATTGTCTAATGTTTGCACATTTTTGGGTGTAATTTATAAACTGACTGTCCACCAGTGTTAAATATTGTTGAAAAAAAAAATCAATTTTATTTTCGTCTTCACATATTTTTCGTCTTTAACAACCTTTTTATGTTAAAAATGCTTGTAATATTTCTGCTGTCCGTATTTGTTGTTTCACAAAAATGCTGCTCATCAACCTTTTTACGTCAAAAACACTTCGACTTTTTCTGCTGTCCGTATTTGTTTCTTTGCCTACTTACAATCGCTATTTTGGAAGGAAGCCTTCGTTGTTTTTCCCCGATGCGATCAGCAAGCCTTTGCCCGCTACACAGTGCAGTCACGCATGCTGATACTGCACGATATATGGCCAGTATTGGCCAGTGGCCATCGTTACTAGCATTGTGCATAGTGGTGTGCACAGCTTAAATTATCCGTTATTTTTAAGAATCATCGACCTTATATATATTTTACATTCATTAAGGCAAGGTAAATAAGGCAAAATACGCAAAACTAAAAAAACATTGGCCTAAGCATAAAAAGCTAACAGAATTTAGGATTTTTTGCTTTTTTGTGGTGACGTATTATTTTTTTTCATGCACGAAGTAAATGTGTAAACTTAATCTGAAAATATTTTCTTTGGACAAATTTTGGGGTTGACAATTTGAACAGAAAAGCAATTTACTTGAGTGTGTGTTTTAAATGACATCACATCAACATTAACAGCACCCTCAGTTGCCAAGAAAGTATGTAACAGTTTCAATGTTTAAAAGTGTGCAAACCCCTAAAAGGATGTCCGATAGTTTTCCTACTATTTGAATACTAATCATCACAACTTGTATCTGGGTACTTTTTGGGTGTTGAAAGTCTACCGACTCTGTGCACAAGTACTCCCTAAATGGTCACAAAGGGAGAGTTAGCGGAAACCAATGGGAGGGACTCTTGAACACACTGACATGAATGTAGATCATGCCATGAGTTTGTTCACATTCACAGTGCACGCATGCGGTGCGTTCCTCCCACTGGAACTCTGGAAAGTGGTTACAAAGCACCATCTGCTGTTCATGCACAGAGTCTATAAGATTCCGCATAGTTAACAGCAATATCTATTGTATTGACCTTTTGTGTAAATTATTACTAATATGTTGAAAAGGTTTAGTCTACATACCTGAATAACATCCTCCATTGCCTCAAACAATTCTAGAAGTTTATTAAAGCCATAGTCACCAACTCGACACTGACGTCCAAAGTGATGGTGATAAGTTGGGATGAACTTTGAGAAGAGAATGCGGTAGCGAGGCTGACTGGAAAGGAGGTCCACTACTTCCCTACTGAACTTGCGCATACGAATCAGCTCTTCTCTACTTTGCTCTTTTAAAAGAATAACAGTAAAATATCATAATGGCACAATTTGAAATCTATAAACTGTAAAAGTATTCTATTTAAGAGTGGGGAGTGTGGCCTAGTGGTTAGGATTCGTGACTCTTGATCAGAGGGTCAGGGGTTGGAATCCAGCTGCTGGTCATATGCTGCGTCCTTAGGCAAGCCACTTTATCCCCACTTGCCTCTCTCCACCCATGAGTATAAATGGGTACCAGCATTAGCTGGGGAGTAACCTGCGATGGACTAGCATCCCATCCAGGGGGATTAGAAATATTCCCAGTCATTTCATGCTACACGGAAACTGGAGATAAACACCGACCTGATGGGCCACATTGGCTTGTGACAGACTTTACTCTTACTCTAATTCAAGTAGGTATTTATGATATTTTCAACGTACTTCTTCCATTGTTAAAGTAAAAGTGAAATTTTAATTATCTTCTAATCAGTGTACAACAGCACAAAACCTGCAAAGCCCTCACTCTTACCCCGCTTTGGTATGAAGATCAGTGTATCATCTCCATTCCAGTTTATCTGTACAAAAAAAATGAATAAACTCAAAAGAATGTGATGGAACACAAATGTGTGTTTAATATTAAATTGCCAACTGTATGGTTCAGCAATATAGAACACTGAGTCGCCACACTTTGCATACTGGAGAATCCTAGTTTTGGATGGTTTGATTGGTTTTATGCACAAGTGTATGGCAAAGAGAGATTCTATTAACCCTCCTAGTGGGAAGTCAATATTCAGAGCAATATGTAAAACCCTTTAAATCCCTGCAGGTCAATTTCAGGCAAAGGGTTACAAAGTTTGAAGTAACTGTGTCACACAGACACTGCACAAAAAATGAACAGCACTGTGGAAAGTAGTGAAGCAGGAACTTCATGAAGCTTAAGCTCTGCTTGCCCAGAACTGTGTATCCATACTCCACAGAAGATTACCTCAAAGGAATTGAAAAGTGGTTTTGCAAATTTGAAGGGTTATGAAATGCAGAAGACAAGGAGGGTTAAATTAAGTCACTGTTGGGCTAGGATTAATAGGCAGATAATTGTTTGGTTCTCTAATGATTAGGACAAATAATAAACTCTTGATTATGGTGGAAGAGCATGGTAAATTATCACAAATGATTCATAAAGGAAACGTTCCACTAGAGAGAGAGGGAGGCCAGCAGGGTATTTCACTAAAGTCTCATTCTGCAATCATCATTATGCATCCAGCAAACTCAATGCTAACCGCAAATCCATCGCCATTGTGATGGCGTCGAGTTTTCATTTCACTAAATCCGTAGCTGTTGCGATGACGAAAAAGAATAATAAAATGAATTGTTCAAGGCTAATGGCTATGGCCTTTGACCTTGAATAGTGCGAAAATGGCCCACACAACAACTAGCACAAGCAAGGTATGGTGTTAAAAAAAGGTACAACGCTCTCATTTCAAATACAATTAATGGCTTCTGCGACATAATACAACTAAGTAACATACCAAGTTACAACCAAATTGGACATTCAGTTCTGTAAATATAGGCATTTGAAATTTAATTTTCTTCTATAACCCATCACAGTGTAGGTACATACCAAGTTACAACCAAATCAGACCAATAGTTCTGTAGATATCAGCCTTAGAAAATGCACCTATAATGTGACGTCTCGTGACACATGCTGACGTTATCATGATGTTACTTCAATGTTCATCTATAACACATCCCAGTTTAGGTACATTAGATGCTATTGTATAATTACAGGGGCACGTGACAAGAGGCGTAACCCCGGGTAGACCCCGCTGCTCCACATATTGGTGGGCAAGCGGGTCCAGAAACTCTGCATGTTAAGGTCGTCAACCATGCGGTAGCCTTAACATGCTAAACGAGTTGAGGACCCCGTTACGGGGGTTCGTGTTGTATTGAACCACAGCCCACCAGTACATAAATCTGTTCAGGGACTCTAAGCTTAAGATGGGGCACCAAAAGCCGGCCTCATTCCTGAATACCAAGGAGGTCATCCTAACCCCGATCGGGTCTCCCCCAAGGAAAGTACGGGTATTGCCATCCTTCGAGGGAGCTGATCTCCCCTCCACGGAGCAGCAGTTTGTTGGGTCAGACGGTATTGACGTCGACCAAACAAGCATGTCCTACAGGGGTGCTCGAGAAATTGAGTGCGTAACTGCGGCTGATCGAATCGAGCACTCACTGGTCTAACGCAAGTAGATCCCATGACACCGCAAAGTCCCGATGACAGGCTCCCACAGGTCAGACGGCGGGAGGTCGTCATGGGTTGGGCAAGTTACCTACGCCAGCCCCCGGGATAACATGGGGTAGGCGTCTGGAAAACCATGGCCAGGTTGGGGCCGTTGTTGCCGGTGAAAAACTGAGTCTGCGCGGTGCGCGTGATCGATGACCGGTCTAATTCTTCTTACTCTTCTTTCCCGAAGAGTGGCCCCGGGGTACATCCGGTGAAAATTTGGGTGACGCCTGGGGCAACGGGACCCCCGAGCAACGGATAAAAAAATGATGTCGAGGGCGGTTCCTCAGAGCAAGATACTATAGAGCTAGCTGCCCTGAGGTTCCCCAGCGGCCCGCTCTGCATCGCCCATGTCATACCGCACCGGCAGCACCTCAAGACCCATGAGTTGGGTGAGCGCCGTACAGTGTGGAAGCCCGTACAAAAATCCGTTCCGGCACCCTGTGGCATTCAGCACTGTGCTGCGGGACACAGGTGATTCAAAATCACTACTGAATCGTGGAGGCTCTTCAAACCCACTGAACCGTGGAGGCTAGTCTCTTCAGACTGCCCCGTGTTCGGGGATGTGACGGAGGGTGTAGTAAAGCCTGTGTCTGGGGGACACTGGTGATTCAAAACCACCACTGAACCGTGGAGGCTCTGTATGAATCATGTCATACCCAGCCAACAGCGCCTCAAGCCCCATGAGTCGGTCGTGCGATGTCCAGTCCGGTAGCCCATACAAAAACCCATCCCGGCATCATTTAGCGATCGCCACTGTGCTGGAGGATACGGGTGAATCAAACCGTGGAGGCTAGTCTCTTTAGACTACCCCGTGTTCGGAGATGGGAAGGAGGGTGTAGTGAAGCCCGTGTCTGAGCTACGTTTACCCTGCTGCCGCGTGTTAGGTTTGGCACCGGCACATGAGTTAAGCTTTGGAGTAATCTTGCCAGAACGCCACTTCTGTCTGGTTATTCCATTTAAGTTGGCCAGAGATGGGGACCGTTTGGGGTACCTTACCTGGCCAACGTAGGAACTGTCAGCGCCAGCATCTGATGAGAAATTCGGATGATGCCTGGGAACTGGGACCCCGAGCAAGGGAAAAATCTGATGCCAAGGGCAATCCCTCATAGCGAGAAATTACAGGACCAGCCGGTCCGAGGTATCCCCGGGCGGCCCGCTCAGAATCGCTCATGTCATGCCGGCCGACAGCGTCTCAAGCTCCACGGGTAGAGCGAAAGATGACTGGTCTGATGGCCTGTACAATAGTCCGTCCCGGCACCCAGTGGTGTTCGGCACTGTACTGGGAGGACACGGGTGACCCAAGCCCACTGAAGCGTGAAGGCTAGTCCCCTCGGGCTGCCCAGAGTTCGGGGATGGGACGGAGGGTGTAGTGAAGCCCGGACTCCAGCTACGTTTACCCTGTCGACCCTGTTTAGGTTAGCCCCGGCACAAGTTTTGAGGGAACCTTGCCAGAGTGCCCCTTTCGTTTAGCTGTTCCGCTTAGGCTGACCGGAGATGGCGACCAATGGTCCCCTAATCGGCCAACAGAAACTGCCAGCCCCCGCAGCTGGCAAAGGCTGGGGATGCTGGACAGGAGACTGCTGCCGCGGTAACGACGAAGTGTTAACGGCAGAGTCCCCCGAGAACTCGGTCCGTCCCGTGGGAGAGGAATTCCCCCGGTTGTGACATGGCCAGTTCTCTCCAAAAGCTTCATTACTATGAAATAATCACACAAGACGATACTATAACTCTACTGATCTTTTCTTTAATCAAAATCTTCTCTTACATGTAAGCGATAAGGGTAGCAGAAAATTGATGAGAAATACAGAGCATATTTTATGCACGTCCTACCTGACCAGCCGCAAAGAGAAAATTGACGCTCACGAGGCATACATGCCGCAGGGCATTAGTGGTAGGACACAAGAGGACGCTATTGTACAAACTCTTAGCGTAAATACCTGCCGGCATTGGGAATATGCATAAGTAGATTGCTCTATACGTAAGTTGAGTGACGTAGACCAACCTTTTTGGTTCGGTTCAGTTCAGTATGGTTCGGGAGGCCATGTTCGGCTATTTTTAGTTTGGTTCGGCGGCAGCAGTAGTTACAACTAAAGTTCCATCCAGGAATGACATGTAGTTCTATACATATCGGGATGTGTGTAATTGAAGGTAGTGTCATATATATACATGATTACCAACCTCGTCCCCAGTACTTACTTTATTACCAACCTCGTTTCCAATAGTAAGCCCTGGATCGGAAACTTTCTTTCTGTATCCTGATTCGATACTGCAGTTGGCTATATATCATGTACTTGGTGTTGTTATTTCCAACGTGTACGTGTTTTCACAATCATTGTAATTATAACATCCACGCCTTCTCAAAAATACTCCTTTCCTTTCCAATTTTCTCATACTAATATGAAATGTGATACTGCATATTGGCAGGATAAGATTGTAACATTTTAAATTCCAAAACAATCGTGTTTTCGTAACTCACGGCGCGATGAATTGATTGTTTTTACCCCAAACACCGCATACAAAAACAAACGTTAATGTAATGCACAGGCAGGCACCAGACTATTCCTCATTTGCATATGTGTTCAAAAATTTTGCACATGCAAATGATCCAATACCAGGGTGAGAGAGCAGGTAGCAAGGGCGGATCGGGGGGGGGGGGGGGGGGGGGGGGGGGGGGGGAATGGGGGGGGGGGAGGGGGAAGGGGGGGGGAGGGCCATGGCCTCCCCAAAAAACGAAACCAATTATTTTTTTTTTTTAAGTGACGTCGCAATGAAGGCAGGCACTACGTACACCACCATCTTTTCCATAAAAAAAATGGTTAAAGTGGTCAGAAATTGCCTCAGATCGCACCACAGAGCATCTAGAATCCAAAAATTGTTGGGACCCACTTGTTTGGGGACCAAACATTTTTTGGGGGGCCCCCCTCCCCCCCAAAAATTGTGTTCTGGATCCGCCCTCGGCAGATAGTGGTGGGTACGTACTGCTCGACACCCTGGGGATGAGGTTGCATGATTACACTCTCATGGGTCTTCGAATTATGCATCTTCAATGTGACGTCGCATGACTTGTGATGACGTCATCACGACGCCACCTCAATTTTCATCTATAACACATTCCGGTCTAGCTACGTACCAAGTTGCAACCAAATCGGACAAATATTTCTTTAGATATAGTCCAAAAATAACGCACCTATGATTAGACGTCACATGACGCATGATGACGTCATAATGACGTCACTTCAATTTTCATCTTTAAAACATCCCGGTCTAGGTACATACCAAGTTACAACCAAATCCGACCAATAGTTCCTGTAGATATAGGCCTTAGTGAAATGTACCTTTAATGTGACGTCACATGACGTCATCATGACTTATCTTCAATTTTCATCTATAACACATCTCGGTTTAGGTACATATTAAGTTACAACCAAATCGGAGCTATAGCTCTGTAGATATAGGCCTTCAAAATATCACCTTTAATATGATGTCACATGACACGTGATGACGGATGATGTCATGATGACATCACTTGAATTTTCATCTCTAACACATCCTGGTCTAGGGACATACCAAGTTTCAACCCAATCGCACCTGTAGTTCTGTAGATATAGGCCTTTAAAATATGCACCTTTAAAATGCCTTACGTGATAATATCATGACAACAATGTTTGGCACACATCTGCAGGTGCTGGTCTATGTGTATGCTGGTCTAAGTACAAAGGCAATCGAATTGTGCCCAAAGTGCCGTGCATGATGAAAATGTGTACAAGTGCTATGAACAAGAGTCTGAAGGAGAAGCCAAACAAGGAATACAAAAAAAATCTCTAAAAAAAACAAAGGCTGTTTCGGCAAGTTGCCAAAACAACCAATTAAAAAATCAATTAAAACTCACATGATAACGTCATCATGATGTCAGTTTCATTTTCATGTATGACACATATATGACTATGTATTTAAAAGTTTTAACCAAATTGGCTTTCTAGAACTCTAAAAACTCTAGATATAGAAATTTAAATAATGCACCAAAAGATGACGTCACATGACCAATGATGACGTCATCATAATGTCACTTCTTTTTACAACCAACTTTACCTCTTGGTGCAGCAGATAACTGTAACCATCTTTCAAATGTGGATACAAGCACCAAAATCTGTATGTTTATCCCCCTGGAACCATTTATTTGAACAATCCCATTAGCCACTTGAATTTTCAAAATGGCTGCCATTTATGGCCGCCATTTTCAACATAAACACCTATTTTACCACACAAAATGTTACCAACTTGACAGATTTTGATAATTTTGCTACTGAATCCTATGTTTTTGACTGTGGGGAAGTCAAATTTACCACTCAACAACTTCTTTAGAGCTTATTTGTGCCATTTCTAATAAAGAATGTGAAAATGTATCCATAAAACACCGGAGAATTGCAGTAGAGGAGAGGGGAAGAGATGCACTCGGTGCTGCAACCCACAGGGGCATTGTGGATCATGACAGGGAGATGGCAGTGCGAGACCAAGCCAATTCAGGCTCAGAGGAAGATTAGCAGGCTCCCTGACTGCCTAGCTCCTCACTCAGCTCCAGAGATTCAGGCCAAGGATGTGAATCTACGTTTAATTTAATAAACGTTTAGCAAAATTTTCCCGTAGCGTTTAAACGTTTAAACGTTTAATCAAGACTTCAAAAAGACTGCCGCCTGTGTCCCAGTATAATGTGCGGTAACTGCGGTCACAATACTTACTTTGTATATACACTTGTATACACTTTAACCACCCTCTTTTTCCATGTTCTTTTGAAGTCTGCAGACTAAATAAATTAAGAAGAAATGAATCGTCTGCATTCTGCAAGTGTTGTGGAATTAAGTGTCACTTCAAGCAGAAATGTCAAGGCCTGAGGAAGATCGTTTATTTGTATTTTTAAGATCCGATTTTCTTAAAGAAACAAAAACACCTTATATTTAACGGAAATGCAAACTGCATCCAAATTCCAAATTCCAAAATATGAAAAACTTTGCCTGCACAAATTTCCCGAAAGCCGCAGCATTCTTGAGCTGCTAGTTTTCTGCAGGCTGCCAGAAAAATAGTCATATATTTCTTGCTACGCAACCGGCAGTCCCAGCCCAGGCATCACAGGGGAGCCTCCTAATAACATTATTTCTAGGCAACCAGGTTGGAATGTGATACTGGGCATGCAGCCATGCACCTGTGGCTCAGATAGCTAGAATTCCAACATGGGCCACCACTCAAGTTGCGCGTGGAAGGAACGTCATATTCATGAAAGCAAACGGACCGTGATGAAAGCAACCAATGGCGTATTTAGTTGACGGGAACCAGCTCATTTCATTGGCTGAGATACTATCATCACTGTTTATCATCTAAGAAGCTTGCAATTACTGGCGGCAAGTCATCAAAAGCCTTAAAGTTCGATGGCCTACAGCTGAATCCAACCGTATATACTTTGTAGCAACAACAGCGGCATTGTATCAATTTGAACAATGCCGCTGTCAATCATTCTCGGAAAAGGCCTTTTTTGGAGCTGGATTTTATTTGGGATTTATTTTTTCAAAGGCCAGGGGAAAAGTTTATACGAAAAGTGAGGGAAACTGAAATAAACATGGAATTCACCCCTGTAAAGGCCTGTATCGTGTACATGAATAAGTGGTAAATAAATGGGTTTTCTTTTTGTCGTTTTTGTTGTTGTTGGGGGGATATTCCAAATAATTTATTGAATGCACGTCTTTTTAAAACTGGACTGAAGAACAAAATGCCCAGTATTGCTAGTCCAGAATTTATACTAATTACTAAACCAATTTGACAGGGGCCGTTTTTTTGACGACTGCGTTACCATTAATTGCCGTTGGGGAAAATGTTAACTGACAAGAATTTTAAAAAAGTGTCTTGACCCATGGGCCTGTATTTTACGTCCTACATGCATCCTTTGGTCGTCATTCGTCAGGCAAACATGTTAAAAAATAATAAATATCCAACAATTTTATTTTTCGATGTAACTTTTCTATCCAGGAAGGTTTTTAGCTAATGATACTAGCAACATTTAATAATGTTCCTAATGAGGTAGATTTTTTACGTATCACAATATTTTTAAGGGGGAGGGGTGCACTTTTCTCCACAGAACAATTCAACAATTATAGTTGCAGTCGCAGTTCGGCTGTGGGAATTAAATACTTGAAATCAATGAAGATAGCACGTTAGAATTATACAAACAAATAAATTCAGGGTTCAGACTTCAGAAACTACATTTTTATTTCTTGAAGCAAAATAAAACAACACATATCAATATACAGGCATGCAACTTGAAATTAACAAAAAACGAGGAAATTCCAATTTTTACAAGACTTTGTACAGTGTTTTTCAATTTTCAATGGCCTAATTGTGAAATGAAAAACGAGGAAATCAGCTGATCCGAGGAAAAGTTGCATTCCTGCAATATAACAAACAACAAGACTACAAGTCATGGACTCATTGTCCAAGGTCAAGTTTTTGAAACAGAGATTAAATAATGAAAAGGAATTAAACATTTAACAGTTAACTTAGCATGTTGTCACCCCACCTTTCGTCGCAAGGCCAGTACTGATTAAACTGTTATATTTAACATCATGAAATATCACTTCCTTTTTTTGGTGCAAGGGGGATTTTACGAAAGCTGTAAACCGTAAATGGCAATGTAAATCAATTAAATTTTCTTTTCATTTTTTTTACTCTTTGATCACTCATTCCCAGCAAATAATGAATAACAAAAACTGAATGAGTTATGCCAGCCTATAGGTCTACCAGGTTTGAAATGAACTTTTGTTCTGAAACTCAAACTTCAAAATGATATTTATTTTTCGACATATTTTGTTTTAAAAGTTAAGTTATGCTAAGTAAAACGCTTGTTGATTCAAAACTGGACGCCAGTCTACAGTTGATCCTTCATCTTGTTAAGGAACACCTATTGACATTTTCTGGAAGTAGGAGACTTCTCTTGCTATTGACAATGTTCCCAGCAGCCGAGGGTACTGAGGTTGCAGGGATGGCGAGGAACTTCTGTGCTAGCCTTGACAGAGTTGGGAAAAGCTTACTGTTATCTCGCCACCAGTTCATGGGGTCTGTCTCATTGTCCAGTGGGGGACTACGCATGTACATATCAAACTCTGACTGAGCAACTGCAGCCACATCGACATTGGATTTTTCACTGGCTCCGCTGGTTCCAAGTAAAAAGTCCTTGCCAGATGCTTCTTTGGTCTTCTTTGCTGGTGGTTCTTTCGCTCCTGTGTGGCCAAAATAATTACTGCCATTTCTTCCTTGACAGCACAGAAGGGAAGATCTCGGTAGTCTTCGTCCACAAAGGAAAGATGCTTGTACCGTGGATCTAGTACTGATGCCAACATAGGAGGCCCGGTCAGGGCCTCCTCACCCTCAGAGCAGAATCTATGCTCGAGATCCCTGGCCACTACTATCTTGAACTCAGTAATAGGTGCAGAGTCGGCTTCTAGCGGCTCCATGTGGTTCCTCACCAAACCTCTAATAATTGGATGGACGATAGAGGCGCTAACATTCTTCTCCGCTGACAGCACTGTTGTTGCAACCTGTGTGGAATAGAAGATCACCCTTCATTATTAATTATTATCAACCATTTTGTGTCACACCTTTATGATCAGTCACCACGCATGCTCATATTTCGGAATCGTTTCAGCGACATTTTTCAAAGATAGCACGGACAGTCTGGCAAACAGCCAAGATGCTATTTTAGCTCTAAACATTTCTTTTAATTTTTCTTTGCATGCATACACTGATGATCTATCGTACCTGCAAATGTAGCAGCAATTGTTGTTGTCCATGAATTAATGCGCCCATTGCATTAAATTATCGTTTACTTATCCTGTACTTTTTGTTCGTTCCATTCCACATTTTACAAGTGAACAACGTTGGTAATGCAAAAACGGGTAATGCAAAAACGGGGTGGGGCATCTAACATTAATTTCGGTGGGGGTAATTTTATAATATACCATACCTGAAGAGGTTTGAGGCACTTAACTAACTCGCCCATGAGGTTCCACTGCTCTGACTTCAGATCCAACGTCTGCGCATCAGATAGTTTTGTGTATTGTCTGTCGCTGAGGATGAAGCAGACTGGCCAGCGATTCTCTAGGAGTCATTGCAGCATCTCAAAAACTGAATTCCAGCGTGTCTTGCACGAAGATATTAGGCGATGCTTTGGAGTGTCCATTTGCCGCTGTTTAGATTCAAGGGCTTTTGTGGCCACATTGCTGTGTTCAAAGTGACCGACAAGACGCTTTGCACCACCGATGACAGTTTTGATGCGGCTGTTGCAATCCAGGCCTTTGTTCACGCTTAACTGCAAGGTGTGAGCGGCACATCCAACATCGCTAACCTCCATATTGGATAGAGTTCCAATGTCCTTCGTGTTGGATGCATTGTCGTGAACTACAGCGCTGACCTTGCCGCTTAGTCCCCACTGATTGACGACTTCTTCAAGCTGGTTGGAAAGGGCTTGAGCTGTATGACGCTGCGGGCCTTGTGTTTCTTCTTCTTGATCTTCGTCATCGCTGTGATGAAAAGAGGCAACAAGGGCCGTGTCCAATACAAACGCATGGTGTTTCCAGTCCCGGATAAAGTGGCATGTCACAGTCATGTAGCCCTCTTGACTCATTGATGTCCAGCAGTCTGTTGTTAGGGCGACGCTGTAGGCATCTTGCAACTCCTTATTTAGAGAGTCTTTTTTCTGCTCGTACATCAGATGCAACTGAGTCATTGTTTTTCGGCAGGGTACCTTGTATCCAGGTTTCCAGATACGCCAATAGCTTTCTGAACCCATCTTCCTCTACCAGGCTGATCGGCAAGCTTGCCTGAGCAATTGCTGCAGCTATGAGTTCTGAGATTTTGGTTGCCCTAGGTGAGTTGCAATTTTCCTTCCTTAGGAATGAGGTCATCATTGTCTGGCTGCCGCTGGTGGTTTCATCTGATTCTCGGATGGGTGTTTAATTTTTATATGATTAATCATCGTTCCGGTGGAACCACCTTTGTATGAGAGGGTCGCGCTGCATATTTTGCATTTTACACTATGGTCATTCACTTTTTCAAACGTGTTCCACACTGGACTATTTGATGTGCGAGGCATTTTGTCAAGCAGGAACAAATTGGTTGAAAGGAGCGAGGAACAAATCGAGGAACAAACAGTAGGAACAAATCGAAAGAAAGTGCTGAAGTGTCTGGTGCAGCGCCAATAAATACCCTTACAAAACTTTTGAATTTTGATCTAGCAACGTTTGTGATTGTGAAGTTTATAACGGAAGCAAATAATTTGCTACATTTTCAAATAAACGAAAACCGCAGTCGAGGATGGAGCATCTTTTCGGAAGTCCGAAACAGGCCTATTTAAAAAACAAAGGTAAAACACGCAAATAATCTACGTTGATATCGCTCTTTAAAAAAATGCAATTTCCTTCCTATAATAGATCCTGTAAAGTCACCGCCCCTCAGCTCCCGCCCTGAGATCCAAAAAAAAATTTTTTATTTTACCCCCGCCAACACCAAACAAATTCTGGGTCATCGTCATCGATTTCCTTGTTACGGAAGCGGCAGTAACTTTGGATACAGGGAGCGGCGGGCTTATATATACAGCACTTGGGGAAAAAATAATCCCAATGCATCAAAATACATCGTTTTAAATAACGCCTTCACTTGAGTAGCTTACGGGGGAGCGGGGTAAACTTTTTTGGGGGGGGGGTCCTCGCCGGTTTTTAAATCATTATGAAAGTGCTAGCCATTGGTTTGATTACTGCACACACCAAGTGATGATTGCAGCAAATTCAAGTTCAGAGAAAAATACAGACAAAAAGACAGACTCGGAATTGTTTTAAAACTCAGTATTTTAATAATAAACCTAGGAGAGGCGCCATCGCGCCAGGCATCGATCTTGGCCCAGCGGCGTGTTGAAAACATCAAACACAAGCAATTGTATACACTGTGTATCAATTTGACACAAAACAGTTGCCGATCATTGAACAATGCATCAATAAAACTTCTTGGAACATGATTAACTACTATAAAATGCGTTTCTAATTCTTTATAAATGAAATAAAATAAACATCGTAGATTCTTTGTAAATAAAACTGGAGGGTAGGTTGCGCAAAATACAAGGTCCCATTTTTGAAATTTGAGTTTCGTTTAAATGTTTGGGAAAATTTCTAAACGGATTTGATTTCTTTTTCGTTTACACGTGTAAACGTCACATCCTTAATTCAGGCTCAGGCCTTCAGGCCAGTTTCAGAAGCTCCAGACCATCATGACAACTTCTGACATGCACTCACTCCAAGGAGCACAGTTTGAGCTGACAGCCATCATCAACCACAATGGGACTTAAGACAACGGCGGTCACTATTACGCACTACTCAAAAAAGGTGACAACTTCAAGCCCAAAGTGGTGCCATTGGAGCAGGTATGCAGCCCAGACAACTATCTCTTTCTCTTCAACAGACAAATAACTGTTCCTGTCGCTCCGATCCCTACTCCGACCAGCCCTGAGTCCTCTCCCCCTCAGCGGAAGAAAGCTCTGACCAATGACAAGAGGAGCCGGTTGTTAGTGCCACAGGATGTGTCTGCAGCCGCCGCCCATATCAGTCCACCTCCTACCCTTCAGTCACCAAACAACTTCCCAACCCGACAGCTCTAGATCAGCTCCACCCTCGGGAAGCAGCTGCAGAAAGGAAGAGGTTACAAACCTTCCCCACCCAGCCACCAGATACAAATGATCTCTGGTTCAGTAACAGCCCAGAGACTATACCAGTGGAGGAGCTGGCGGAGGGCACCATCATTGCCAAGGCCTGGCCTGTCGGACAATAGGAGCAAAAACGTTGTGTGGGTTATACCCAAACGAGCGGCGCCGTCAAAGTGTTGAAGTGCTGTTCGTTGCAGTTACGGGTAGCGTCTGGCAACAGGGATGTAGTCAAGGTCCGATGACCAGAGTCAGCAACAATGTTATCACGCACGTCATCAGCAACGATAGGCATGGTAAGGTACTGGGTCGTCTCGTCTGTTAGGAAGGAGTACAAACTTGAGCTTCAAGGAGGGCGCCGCAGTTTGGGTTGGTTGAACAGGGACTGGATCTGCTGAGAACAAACCCAATCGAAGGGAACCACGGGGGGGGGGGGGGGGGGGGGGGGGGGGGGGATCGGGGTGACTAGTGAGTCAAAGAGGCCTCGTCCCCACACCACACCAGGTTCCTTCAGTTTTCCTAAGAAGGCACCACATACGAGTGCCAAGCCCTTCCTTTTGGCTTGTCCACGACCCCTCGGGTCTTCACCAGAATTGTGAAACAGTGGACAGTGCCCTCCTTCGTCAAGGTCTACATGTGTTCATGTGCCTCAACGACTGGCTCATCATCGGCAAATCGCGGGCATCAGCTGCTCACACAGTCTGTCAGACCCGCTCCCTTGCCGAATGCCTGGGTTTCCTCATCAACGAGTCCAAATCCATGCCAATCCCATCTCAACGGCCCACAGAGCAGTCTATCTAGCGGGCACGGACAACACCACAGCGTCGCTCTTTCCCGGGGCTGGATTCACCCCAAGGAGTGGACACTCCCAAATTCGGTCAGGCAAACGATCTTCTCACAGTTCTCAACAATACTCAACCACCAGCTCCCGGTGTACGGTTCCAGATCTCCAGAGACCAGATGTGGCGAACCGATGCCCTTTCATTTTGTGGACCAACCGTTTTGCCTACGCTTTCCCCAGAATCTACCTACTACCCTAAGTAATCGGGAAGATCAAGCAGGACCCATGCAGGGTCCTCCTGATTGCCCTTTGTTGGCCACAACAATCGTGGTTTCACGACTTGTTCGCCTTCTCTATCATGCCCTGCTCCTCCTCCCAACAATGGCTAGACATTCTTTGTTAACCTCAGTCGGGTCTACTTCACTACTTATTTTTATAAAATAGTGCAGATGGCGTGCAGTGGATTCCTTCGCTACAAACTCTAACCGAAGTTGGTGATTTTCTTCTCACCTCTTCCAATCGAGTCTAGCGCTTCGCATCATCCAGCATCCCGTGATGCAATCGCTCGCTGAGTCGTGACGGCCATACGACTCGCATCACCTGACTGGCCCTATCCGAAGTACAGGCCCACAAAGTTTGCAGCGTGGCTACCTCTTGGGGTTTTGTCAAAGGAGTGCCCCTTGCAGATAATCCTACTAGGGGCATGTTGGAAATCCTCCAAACCTTCGATCACCTCTCGTTATCTCGAGAGATGTGCTGCAAGCCGACGGCAGAACCAGTCGTGCAGCCTAAACTGCCCCAGCAGCACAACGGATCCGGTTCCTCCTCCGCTGGCGCCCCACAGTACCAACAACTGATGACCTACCCCATTATGTTAAGAGCCGATTCATATATGATTTACTTTATTGGGTTTAATTTTGTTGGCTTATCTGTCATGCTTCCTTGTGGCCGCCTCTAAACATTGTATACTCTCAAAACCCACCTACCTAAAACAGTACTATTCTGCATATGTAGCAAATACTCTACGGGTAAGTAGAGCACAGTAGAATCCCCCCACCAAGGTGTGGGCAGATACTACTAGCAAATACTTACCCGTGGAGTGCCCACCCCCTCCCCACTAGTGCCGCGAATACTCTACCACTTTTACACCAACATGCATGTTAGCCTACCTAGCGCTCTTATAGCAGATTTTTTATTGCATGGCTTATATATGGTACAAAGAAGCTTTCTACATGGTTACAAATGTATGATTCAACACCAAGATCATTCATTTAGGCCACGTCTAGGTGATTTATTGCAAACAAATAATATTCCTTGCAAGAATTTCCTTGCGGGCATCTTGAAACTGGCCGCCATCTTAAATTTTGGAGTTGCTAATGGGCTTTATCAAAAGAGTAATCTCTAAGGAGTATTTCTGCCGATTTTGGTACTCGTATCCATTTGAAAGATTCCCTGAAATATTTAGTTATCTGCTGCATTTCATGTCAAATTTTGCAATTAGAAAAAAGAAGATTTATTTAAAAATTAATTAAAAATCAATTGATGACGTCAACATGACGACGTCACTTCGGATTATATATATCCATATCTACCTATGCACCAAGTTTCAGAACGAACAGATATTTCTTATGTATGTGTTTAAAAAAAACCTCACATTTTTTATGACGTCATGATAACGTCACAAATTATTCAAATTGTGTGCATATATACACTAAACCAAAAAAGAAAGTCCCCCCCCGCCAATA